TCCTTTCCTTCCCCAGCCACCTCCTTTCCTTCCCCACCCACCTCTTTTCCTTCCTCAGCCATCTCCTTTCCTTCCCCAGCCACCTCCATTCCTTCCTCAGCCATCTCCTTTTCTTCCCCAGCCACCTCCTTCCTTTCCTCAGACACCTCCTTCCTTTCTCCACCCACCTCCGTTCCTTCCCCAGCCACCTCCTTTCCTTCCCCAGCCACCTCCTTTCCTTCCCCAGCCACCTCCTTTCCTTCCCCAGCCACCTCCTTTCCTTCCCCAGCCACCGTTCCTTCCCCACCCACCTCCTTTCCTTCCCCACNTACATGTACACATCAATACATGTACACATCAATACATGTACACATCAATACATGTATGTATCAGTACATGTACACAGCAATACATGTATGTATCAGTACATGTACACATCAGTACATGTATGTATCAGTACATGTACACATCAATACATGTACACATCAGTACATGTACACATCAATACATGTACACATCAATACATGTATGTATCAGTACATGTACACAGCAATACATGTACACATCAATACATGTACACATCAGTACATGTACACAGCAATACATGTACACGTCAATACATGTACACATCAGTACATGTACACATCATTACATGTACACATCAATACATGTACACATCAGTACATGTATGTATCAGTACATGTACACAGCAATACATGTATGTATCAGTACATGTATGTATCAGTACATGTACACATCATTACATGTACACATCAATACATGTACACATCAGTACATGTACACAGCAGTACATGTACACATCAATACATGTACACATCAGTACATGTATGTATCAGTACATGTACACAGCAATACATGTACACATCAGTACATGTATGTATCAGTACATGTACACAGCAATACATGTATGTATCAGTACATGTACACAGCAATACATGTATGTATCAGTACATGTATGTATCAGTACATGTGATACGCTGAGACACTTGGGCATTAGAGAGCGGAGGCGTTGATATATTGAAACGTACAGCGATTGAGATATTGAGACATGAAGAGTAGACGTAGCGACATAGAGACGTTGAGACATGGAGACCTTGATGCATAAAGACGTAGAGATATAGAGAAATTGAGACATAGCGACATTGGGAATGTAACACATTAAGTTCGTCGGTCAAACGTATTCAACTGTAATCTGCGTGCTCGGCGTTCTCTTGTTCCCTGTCTGACGTTCTCTTGGTTTCCATCTAACGTTCTCTTATTCTCAGCCACACGTTCTCTTGTTCTCCCTGTGACGTTCTGTTGTTTCTCTTGCAGAGTGATGGAAACGCAAGTTTCCTGCGTGCGGCACGGAGTGGTAACCTGGAGAAGGTGCTGGAATACTTAAAAGGAAGCACCGACATCAACACAAGCAACGCTGTGAGTGACATCAACCCTTCCTTTTGCTCACCCTCCTCCTCCTTTCTTACCCCCACCACCTCCTTCCTTTCTACCACCGTCCTTATTTCCGTCCCCACCTCCTTTCCTTCCCCAGCCACCTCCATTCCTTCCCCAGCCACCTCCGTTCCTTCCCCAGCCACCTCCGTTCCTTCCCCAGCCACCTCCGTTCCTTCCCCCACCTCATTCTCTCCTTGTCTCCTCTCTATGGTTTCCTTTCCATCACTTCCCCGCGCCTCTCGCCGTGTCTCCTCTCAGTGGCTTCTTCTTCCACCCCCTCAGTTTTTATCATGGTAGCTTCTCTCAAAGCTTCCTCTTTCTCCTCCTTCCTCCTCCGGGCTCCTCCCAAATTCCCATCTCGGCTCCGCGTCGTGTGCGCTCGTGTTTTCTCTGATCTAAGCGCAATCGCCGCGAGTGATCGTCCGCGATGAATAAATGATCGGCGCCGCTTCCTCACCCCGGCCCGCTTGTTCGTTCCCGCGCTCCGGATGTTAGTTCGTTCCGGATTCATTCGTTCCGGAAACATTCGTTCCGGATGTTAGTTCGTCTTCGCCGCCGGCTCGTGGTAAAACGCGGAGACGTCTATGTCAGGGGGACGCGAATATATTAGCGCGGCGATCGCGAACGCTGGGATAGAAAACCTGGCGCATGTAGAATTCGCAAGTTCCGTTTGAGGGGCCTGGGGGGGATTTTGTTCGAGAGGCCTGGCGGGGGATTTGTTTAAGGGGCCCGGCGGGGATTTTGTTTAAGGGACCAGGCAGGGAATTTAAGGGACTCGGCAGGGATTTTCGGTGTCTGACCTCCCCGGCGTGATTGCGCGTGTGCGTGTCAAGAGGCCCGACGGGGATTTTCGGTGTCTGACCTTCCCGACGTGACCGCGCGTGTGCGTGTCAAGAGGCCCGGCGGGGATTTTCGGTGTCTGACTTCCGGGCGTGACCGCGCGTGTTCGTGTGTCGTTGCAGAATGGCCTGAACGCCCTTCACCTCGCCTCGAAGGAGGGTCACGTGAACGTTGTCACGGAGCTGCTGAAACGCGGAGCCAACGTCAACGCCGCCACCAAGGTAACGCCGCCGTGCCCTCCCCCCAGCAGGGGGCAGCACGAGCTCACAACTCGACCACAGTGTCTATATATATATATATATATATATGTATGTATGTATGCATACATATATCTGTCCGTCTATCTATCTATTTATCTTTCTTGCTGTCTATG